CCACTGGGAGTTTACAGGAATAAAAAAAAAAATATATAGGTAGCAAATGTTTGAAACAATTCGTGATGGAATTTGACAGAAACGATATCTAAGAAAAAATATTAACGACAGTTGACTGACTCATGACGTCACTTTTTCTTTTATCTTAAAGTGATCGTGAAATTCACATCACATGAGAACTATTTTGGAGTGAGTTTTCTGTAGAAACTAAGTGTACATGTTGACCACACTGCCTGAACCCACTTTAAATGAAAAGCTTTGATGCAATTACTGAATATCAATATTTGAGTTTGCTTAATTGAAACATGGAATTTTTGATTTTTTTTCATATAAATTACAAACATCAAATGATGCAATGAAAAAAATTACTATTACTTACGGTACAAAAAAAAAGTATTTTCATACAATTTATATTTGTTTTTTTAAGGAATAATGAATCTGATTATTCTTAAGCATCTGATTTTACACAAGCAAGTGCTTTAATGTTTTCAGTTATTAGATAGTCTTCCATCTGAGTGTGGTCAAAGGTCGTGGGTGACGTCAGTACCTGCAGACGAGTCTTCCAGTGAATTACCTGATTTTAATAAAAATGTAGATTTAAGAAGTGAAAAAATAATACTTTTGAGGACAATGAACCTGGAGGTAATAACTACGATGATAGAGAAGAAGGAAAAAAGAAGAAACATATTGAAAACAGTAAAAATTCCTCCAAGACTCTCACACACCTTCATGTAAGCCAACAAGAATATAATGCACCAGAGCCATCTAACTGGAATGATGCAAAGCCTACTGAACCATCCAATGAAATTGAAGATGTTTTGTCGTCACTGGTTTCTGACCTATCAGGTCCTGCCAAAGAATGTTTGAAGGTGCACCACAAGCTACATCAGGAAGGTTTAAAAATACCATTAAATATTTTACAGCGGTAAGTACAGTCATTCTCTTACCTCATAATCACCTTTGACTGCCTAAATAAACAGATTTTTATTTCAATATCGACGACGTGTTAAAATTCCTGTTGTAACTTTCATTGCCTTTATGTCATTTCTTATTCAAGCAAAATTAATTAACGAGTAATTGGGGGTCCTGTAAAAGAGGTATAACTTAATGGCTCTATATTATTAAAACTAACAGAACAGCTATAATCTTTAACGTAAGAGTATATAAAAATATCTGGACAACCTATAAGAGTCTATAAAATACCTGGACAACCTATAAGAGTCTGTAAAATATCTGGGCAATCTATAAGAGTCTGTAAAATATCTGGGCAATCTATAAGAGTCTATAAAATATCTGGACAATCTATAAGAGTCTATAAAATAGATGGGCAATCTATAAGAGTCTATAAAATATCTGGACAATCTATAAGAGTCTATAAAATATCTGGGCAATCTATAAGAGTCTGTAAAATAGCTGGGCAATCTATAAGAGTCTATAAAATATCTGGACAATCTATAAGAGTCTGTAAAATATCTGGGCAATCTATAAGAGTCTGTAAAATAGCTGGGCAATCTATACGAGTATAAAATATCTGGACATTCTATAAGAGTCTATAAAATAGATGGGCAATCTATAAGAGTCTATAAAATATCTGGACAGTCTATAAGAGTCTGTAAAATATCTGGGCAATCTATAAGAGTACATAAAATATCTGGACAATCTATAAGAGTCTGTAAAATATCTGGGCAATCTATAAGGGTCTATAAAATATTTGGGCAATCTATAAGAGTCTGTAAAATAGCTGGGCAATCTTTAAGAGTCTATAAAATATCTGGACAATCTATAAGAGTCTGTAAAATAGCTGGGAAATCTATAAGAGTCTATAAAATAGATGGGCAATCTATAAGAGTCTATAAAATATCTGGACAATCTATAAGAGTACATAAAATATCTGGACAATCTATAAGAGTCTGTAAAATATCTGGGCAATCTATAAGAGTACATAAAATATCTGGGCAATCGATAAGAGTCTATAAAATATCTGGGCAATCTATAAGAGTCTATAAAATATCTGGGCAATCTATAAGAGTCTGTAAAATATCTGGGCAATCTATAAGAGTCTATAAAATATTGTGGCAATCTATAAGAGGCTGTAAAATATCTGGGCAATCTATAAGAGTCTATAAAATATCTGGGCAATCTATAAGAGTCTGTAAAATATCTGGGCAATCTATAAGAGTCTATAAAATATCTGGACAACCTATAAAAGTCTATAAAATATCTGGGCAATCTATAAGAGTCTATAAAATATCTGGACAATTTATAAGAATCTATAAAATATCTGGACAATCTATAAGAGTCTGTAAAATATCTGGGCAATCTATAAGAGTCTATAAAATATTTGGGCAATCTATAAGAGTCTGTAAAATACTTGGGCAATCTATAAGAGTGTGTAAAATACTTGGGCAATCTATAAGAGTCTATAAAATAACTGGGCAATCTATAAGAGTCTATAAAATATTTTGGCAATCTATAAGAGTCTGTAAAATATCTGGGCAATCTATAAGAGTCTATAAAATATCTGGACAACCTATAACAGTCTATAAAATATCTGGGCAATCTATAAGAGTCTATAAAATATCTGGGAAATCTATAACAGTCTATAAAATATCTGGACAATCTATAAGAGTCTGTAAAATATCTGGGCAATCTATAAGAGTCTGTAAAATAGCCAGGCAATCTATAAGAGTCTATAAAATATCTGGACAATTTATAAGAGTCTATAAAATATCTGGACAATCTATAAGAGTCTGTAAAATATCTGGGCAATCTATAAGAGTCTATAAAATATTTGGGCAATCTATAAGAGTCTGTAAAATACTTGGGCAATCTATTAACCAAAGAGAAATTTCGAGCTGAATGATTCAGTGACAATATTTCTATCACTAGTAAGCGTTTAAAAATAAAGCTTGGTAAATACGTTTCGAATAACATTACCTTCTATTCTTTTGCTTTTCTATTTGTGTTTTAATTAATAATAATCCATTTACGTTAGATTCTTCCCTTAGAAAAGGGTTAAGATATCTAGTAATAGAAAAAATAATAATTTGCATTTGGTTATTCTTTTTATTTTCTGGACATTAGATTCACTTTCATGATGAGTAGGGCGTGGTTTGTAGTCAGCGTGCCCGGACTGTGAATCTGAGAGCTCATGGCTTACGCCCCACTACCCCTCAAAAAAACACGCTCCTTACTTTGGGGCCGTGGGTGCGTTATAGAAGTGACGGTCAAATCTCATTGTTTCGTCAGACGCGAGTAGTCCATGAGTTGAGAGGGATTGCTGTTGGCTAGCTGCTTTCCTTCTAGTCTTACGCTGCTAAATTAGGGACGGCTAGCGCAGATAGGCCTCGTGTAGCTTTGCGCGAAATTAAAAAAACAGAAAACAAGCTATGCTTTCTTACAAGCATTATGTGTTAAATCAGTAAACCCTGGTCAATTTGAAAAACGTTTACACGGTCAGACAAACAAACTCACGTTCACGTAATTTTGTTTAATAAAACTACACGTAAAGTAATGGTATTTATAATAGTGTACAGAGTATGAAACTGTTAGGAACGTTCAGTGTATGACACAGTTTTGTGAGTTGAAAAAAACAAACGAAGAATAAAACATGTAGTAAAGGAAAAGTACATAAAAGGTGTTTATGCAGTCTATGAAATAAACCAAAGCTAAGTTATCGCAAAGTAAACTAATGTAAAATTTTAATGAAGGCAAACTTAGCTGAATATGCAGAAACGTCTAAATGCATGTGATAATCATATGGTTTTGGACGAACTGCGCATGCATATTTTAGGCATAAATTAGTCGAGAAAGCCCATAAAAATTGTATTTAGTGTAATTTTCATTTTTAGTTTAGGAAATTACAAGCGGATTAAGTATTATTCGTGTAACACTTTGCAAATAAAAAAGTAACGTTGAAATGGAAGACAGTTGCCACGTGATAACAACGACATTGTGCATCGTGTGTACCATACTCGTTGCACTGAAAAGTTTGACTAAGCAAAAAGCAAGTAATGTGATTCTGAATTGAAAAACCAATATGTAATCCGGATTCCTCGGACTAAGGTCATTTTAAAGAAATGAGATTTATATCATTTGATTGAGAAATGAACGAGAAAAAATCCAGACAGACAAAGGCAAGCGTATTATTTATATAGATTGTCAACACTAATTATTTATTCTTATTGTTTTTATTTGAATTTACTTTATTGGCATTCAGAAGAACTGGCGAAACCAATGTAGTATAAGAATACACTGTAGATTTCTTTCTTTCTGTATTATTAATGTTTCATTCTGAATTTATTCTTTGCTGGGAATATATACAGGTTTCTGACATAGCACGTGGTCAAGCAGACCGTTGAGCTGATCTTGGTTTTAAGTTACCTTTGTTTCTTTGTCATTTTCAAAGAACACTGCTACATGCGACCTTGTGTAAGATTAGGGCGAATGAGAATGACCAGTCACGTTGTTGTCAGTCGCGCTAGGTAAATGCGAAGTTTTGTTTTAGATAGAAATCTCTTATTTATTCAGTTGTACTCAAGTCTGATTCCAAGTCTCTAATAAACTGACCCGATCTTGAATTCGTGTTTAAACGACGACGGGTTCGTATCCCGTCACTGAATATGCTAGCCCTTTCAGTCGTGGGGATGTTATAATGTGACGGTCAATCCCACTTTTTAAAAAAAGAGTAGAGCAAACGTTGGAGGTGAGTGGTGTTGACTAGCTGCCCTCTCTATAGTCTATCACTTCTAAAATAGGGTCGACTAGGTGAGAAGGCCTCGAGTAGATTTGCGCGAAATTTAACAACAAACAAATGTTATTACGTCATTCTGAAACCGGTGACAATATTTTTCATATCCCTCTTTATTGGCCAATAAAGTAAGAAGTAAGAAGGATGAATAACATCATCTTCGACTACACTTCGAGAGTTCATCAGGCCAGCTGGGTTACTGCATACAAAGTCTTAGTTGAAGCACTATTTATCTGAGTTGTTTATGCGGCATCAAACTCCATGGTTCAAGTACTATTTATTTGAGTTGTTTATGCGGCATCAAACCCTATGTTATAGAAGGTTTAAGTAAAACTGTAGAAGTGTGGTTTATTCAGGTACACAGATGACTTTCAAATAAGAATAGTGACTGGTGTAACAAGAGGTTCGGCGAAACAGGTATTCCAAAGTTAATTTGAATTTCTGACCTGACTGTGTTGAGAAAAATATACTGGACAATGCAAAAAAACTGGCTTTTTTTTGTCATTGTTTGCAGAACTGCACACTTGTATGATGCTGTACGGGTCTGGACACTTGTACGACACCGTACAGATAAGACGAACGCACATATTTATTATTTAACTGATGGGAGAAAGCAATGTTCTCGTATTTATAACTCTCCACACCCTCTAAGTATTAAAATGCATATCACAACAACAGTTCAAGTGATATTTAAATTTTACCCTCAAAGTTTTGATTCAGTGTTTCTCAGCTGGATTTGCCAGACGACCCCCCGCCGGTCTTTAGTCGTCACCCCCACCCCCATTATCTCTACAATGATGAAAAAACAGTTCGTCATAGTTCATAATAGAGGTGATATGTGCACCTCTCAGACACCCCGAGGACTGGAAAAAAAAATCCTGACTTAGTGCAGACAGCCCTAGAAATTGTATGAGAAACAATGTTTCGATTTCTATGTTTAAATTGTTAACTTTGTTTATTTGTTTCTTTCTTTCAGAATTTTCGTTCTTGTTGTCCCCTGTTTTGAAGTGATAGACTTTAGAGGGAGAGCAACTAGCCAACAGTACCCACCGCAAACTCGTGGGTTACTCTTGTCATAGTAGAATTTGACCGTCACTCTTATAACGCTCCTACGGTTCTAAAGTGCGGAGCGCGTTTTTGCGGCAAAGGGACCCAAACCATGGATACTCAAGTTCACAGTCGGGCACGTTAACAACTAGGCCACGCCCAGTCCGGTTCGCTGTAGCTCATATTGACATTTTATCTAAAATATAAAACATCTGTTCTTACTATGTCAAAAATTTTGTGGTAGTGTTAACTTGCGTGTGTGTGTGTTATTAGTGATTTTTTTGTTTTGCCCATTCAGTTCGATAGTGTATTTTTCATCTAGTTACGATATGATTTTGTCAATGTAATGAGAGGTGTAATGTTTTCATATTACAAGTTAATACAAATAATGAAGTCTAGAGTACACAGAGAGTAGTCATTTTGTCGGTATTTAATGCCACTAGATGGCAATAGCGTAAAACCCGTAAAATGTAAAAAATGCTATAACTAAATGCATCTTTTCTCTCTCTCTCTCTCCAATTTGATGCGTGGATTATATATTTTTTTTAAATGAGACATCTTAATATAGGTTTTTCATCGTCTCACTACTAGGGACAGTTAACTTTGAAAATATCACAGGTTCATCATTTTTGCAACATATAAAGTTATTCAAAATTTACTTCAGACCAGAAGTGTCTTAAAGTAAAAATTATACAATTTTCTAAGAGGTTAAAATGGGAAGAAATAGCAAACAAAGAATAAAAACGCAAGTAAAACGTTTTTTACTAGTTATCCCATTTTAGCTCATTTTTTAAAATAATTTTCCAAGATTATTCAAACAGTTACAAACCTCGTTGAAAAATGACTAGTTTGGAACGAGATTATATGTTTCTAAAGCTCTAACAATTTGATATGGTAAATAGATTAATGTCTATAATATTTATTATGTAGTTGGACACACGAAATAAGTAAGTTTAGGCTTTTTATAGGTATGTAGTAATTTTGAAAATTTATGATAAACTATTAAAACTCAAAGAATGACCCTAAGTAATTCACATCATTATATCTGTTGTTGTTTTTTAAACTCGTTTCTTTAAAACCAGAACATAAAGATTCCATTTATTTTACCATTCCAGGGGTCTACTGACACCAACAGAAATGCGAGAACTGCATGAAATCAGAACAATTCAGAAAACGTGATATGGTTTTCTCATTAGATATCTATACTATAAAACTGCTTATGTCTATTGGTTTGTTGGTTCTTAACGAAAATTCTCTAACTTCTCGATTATTGATCTTCATGAAATGTTCAGGAGTTTTTCGATATATCTCTGGAAAATTCCAAAATCTCTTATTTTATTCACTATCTCATTTTTAAAAACCTGACAGCCATTTATTTCTCTCCGAGCGAATACCGACGAATGAGAGAAACACACACACGCCGTCTCGTCTTCGTGAAGACAAAAAAATATATAAGTGCGACGCCTGGCGTTTGTATTTTTGTTAATTTACATAAAAGTGTTATTTTTTCATCTGGTTCTTAGCTAATTATTTGTTGTGTTTTAAATTAATAAAATGCGACTTTGTCTAATGTTCTTGATTGGAAATACATTATTTATGAAATTAGGGTTTGCTTGTTTGTTTTTTGTAAGGAATTTCGAAGAAAATTTATTTTGGGGTCCAAATCGACTGCTTTGTTTGTTTCGATTAAATATGTGTATGAAAGAAATATATTTATGTTACACATTTGAAACTAGGTAGTCAGTTGAAATACATTTACAACAATTAAACTTTCACCCCCTGATTGACCACTTTAAAATGTTTTATTTTTAAATTGCTCATGGGTTTGTTAAAAGAGCAACGTTAAAACTTTTACCTGAACATGGATTTCAGTAACGTTTCTGATTTAAATATATTTCTCTGAAATTATATTAAATATTGTACGAAAAACAGTTTTAATAAATGTTATCAACTAAAAGAATCAACAATGCATGATGTAAATATTAAAAGTTAATTTGGATTGTACAAATCATTGCACAATGGACCCTCCTGAGGCTTATGGGTAAGTCTGATGGCTTATAACGCTAAAAATAGGATTTCGATACCCCCCAGTGGGAGAGTACAGATAGCCCCTTTTGCAGTCTTGTGATTAACAACAAAAGAACAAACGAACATTTCTCCAGATAAATTACAGACAAAAATAAATAAAATAAACGTTTTATTCTTTCAGAACCATTTAAACAAAAAACTATTTAATAACCATAGTACGAAATATCGTCAACAGGTGAAGTTAAAAAAATAACCAATGTTATGGTAAAATTAAGCGAATAATTAGAAACGAAAATTCACGAAGATTTATTCACTCACTCCAATCCATATAAACGTATAATAGTAGCTAATGTTAGCCAGTTGTATATATATATATAAATATATATCTACGTCTAAAAATTAACTGATTGGTTAACTGAAAAAAAAGGGTCTTTGATGAAAACATGTTTGGGTTCTGTTTCTTTCTCTTATACTGAAAAGCGCCCTTGCTCAGAATTTCTAGTAAGTATATTTTAAATATTACAAGTTGAACTTCTAGAGTTATGGTAGATGAGAGAACAGGTAGAAACTTAAGTTCCAACAAAATTACTTTTATATTTCTCTTAGTGCGAATAAAAGGAATTAAACATCTACTAGAGGAAGAAAAAAGGAAACCAAGATGCAGTCGTTCTGTTCTGTCTGTAGACATAAACATATCAATATAATATTTAAAGTGTAGAAAAGAGACAGTTTAAAGTCGGAGAAATCAGTCTGATTGGTTCAGCTCTTAGAACAATAAAAAATGAAAACTTAAAACCTTCCCATTTGATGATAGTTTGCCGAGAAGGCAATGTTGTGGCTTCTCAAAACTTAATAACACGTTCTGCGCCAGTAGTGTTGTTTATCAAATTGCATTTTTAGTTAAAACGTTTTTAGATTATATTTCCAGTTCGAGTCTATGGTTATTATCTGCAAATTCGATCTTAAATTACAACTGAAGCACTGAAAAATTATAGTTTTCGAACAGAATACCGAGAAACGAAATCTGGAAATATTTTCACGACACAGTTAAACAATGGACGACGACATGACAATGGGAGATGTGTTTGAAGAAGTATGACGCACAAAACGCTCGAAGTTGTTGTTTTATTTGTTTCTTCGTTTTAATTTCGCGCAAAGCTACTGGAGGGCTGTCTGCGCTAGTCGTCCCTAGTCATGAAGTGATAGCCTGGAGGGAAGACAGCTAGTCAACAACACCCACCGCCAACTCTTGGGCTACTCTAATCGAATAGTAGGATTTGACTGTCACTCTTATAATGCACCCATGGCGATTGTTTTGATTTTGTCAATCCGGCACACTAACCATTGGGTCACGTTTTGGTAAAATGCAAAGGAGAATGTAGTTTGTTTTTGTTTTGTTTTTTGTTAAGCCCAAAGTTACACAACAGGCTATCTGTGCTGTGCCCACCATATGTATCGAAACCAGATTTTAAGCGTTATAATCCCTCCGACTTACCGGTGAGCCATTGAAGAGGGGGGAGGATAAATGTCATTTGTTTGTAGTTAAACAAAAGCTCCACGACAAGCTATCTATGCTGTGTCGACCACGGGTATCTAAACCCAAATGTCAGCGTTATAAAGCCCTCCGACCTACCGCTGAGCCACGAGGAAAGAATATTAATTATCCAGCTTTACATGCGGAGTAGAAATAAGCAAAAATAGAATTAAGAGAAGGTGTAGCGGATCCAATCGACAAATTACTGACTTTTTGTATACTGTTTATCAAGGTTCGTATATTGCATACCATTGTGTAATTTTATGTTGTTGTTTTCTTCATGTTACAAGACTCAAAGAACTGACCAACAAAAACTGTGCAATCACTCATTATTCGTGCAATTAATTACAATATCGATATTATTTTTTGTGAGCCTTACGTTATTAGGGATTCACAGACAAGTTGGTGTATAAATAGTTTAGAACCGATGGCGTCTATATAGACCCATTCAGTAGCTTGTTGTTTGAAACAAGGTGTGGTGCAGTACTTGCTCCTAATAAAACGGAAATAAAAAGTCATGAAAAGTCAATTAAAGAGGATATCAAAGTGGTGATGTTGGTGGGAGCTATAAACACAACTATTGTTCACATTTATTTTTTTAACAACACTTTAAGATTATCGATGAGAGAGTGTACTAGGTACAATACTAGAACAGAAGAATTCAAATATTCCTTAATTTCAAAGTTAATAACTTTGGGTTTCCGACTTCACCAAAATGCTGTTATAATGATTGTTCAGATCTGTTTTTATCTACAGTTTGTACGTTCAATGATACTTAAACGAGAAATCAACAGTAAGATAACACTGAAAAAAAAAACTGAAACTAATTATAAACAAAAATTACAATGTTCTAATTGTTATAAAATTTTGCAATCTACATGGAGTTTGTATACGCTTCCACATAAGATATTTCGATACAGGATGAATGGTTATTGGCTAAACTTATTACATCAGGTACTACATGCATGGTTATAGACCTAATTAACTTTAAAAGGTCATGGATTAGCTTTAGAATGTCATGGGTCAAAGGTCACTGGTACATATAAAATCCCCTCCAAACTTGAAGCTTTGCAATGTCTTGGGTCAAAGGTCACGATCACAAATTCACTGGTACATAGAAAATCCCCTTCAGGCTTGTAGCTTTAGAATGTCATGGGTCAAAGGTCACGGTCACAAATTCACTGGTACATAGAAAATCCCCTCCAGACTCGAGCCAATAATATATAAAGATTGAACAGATGGATTTTGACCAAACTTTATCATACAGAAGAACATTACGAGGGCATAGGTGTTTCATAAACACAATTTACACCTTTTTTTTTATTATTCTCTCAAACACGTAACGTTGAATATATATAACCCTGAAACAAAAAAACTGGAGTTTCATTCATAAACTTACGTTATGGTCACGGGTTAATTTTAATGAAAAATCACACACACACACAGCAACCTGTTTGTGACATAAGTGTTAACACATTAAAATATTCTCATTCCGAGAGTTTTCGTTTCTTTGTTTGCGTTTCTTCTTCTGTCGACTTATACTCAGTTATTAATATAACTTGAATTTCTTACCGATACGATAGTAGTATTTGCTTCCTCCCACCCCTCACATTCATTTTATACAAATCTACAGTGCTAATTTATGCGGACCGAAACTTCAACACTTAACTATAAACATCAATACTAAACAGATATTATGCTTAATAGAAAAAAATAAATTAATTTAACTTTGATTTAGAAGCGTTTTTTTTTAAGTTGCTCGATTGACCCAGAGGCGGTTACCACGGTGATCATCGTCTTAAATGCATCCCTCCTGACTGAGAGTAGAGGCTGAAGCTATGTCTCTCGGTCCATTTTTTAAATGTTTTTCGTTCTTGCTGTCATTGTTTCTCCAGATACTGGATATTATCAGTGTTATTTTACACAGTTTATGTGCTAATGCTTCGTTATGCAAAAAATGGAACAAAAAAAGTAAATATTTTAATAATATATCTACTGGTGTTTTGTTGTTGTTCTTTTAACCTAGTTCTGACGATATAAAAAATGGCGAAACATCTACATTTTTTTTTGTCTGTTACTATGAGTTAGGCAGTTCCTGAAAATGATAGTTCTCATTAAAACCCAGAACTAATCCAATACTTTTAACATTTAATAATAAAAACATTCAACCGTTGAGTGAAGAAAAAAATAGTTTAAATAATTAAATGAAATACATTTTTATTGGGCATTCTCTTTTCAAATGAAATTTTTTTGTTTATTCGCCTAAAATAACGTGTTATTTCCAAATATAGCGCTACGTTCGTGAACTTTCAAACAACGGTATTTCCAAAGACAGAGCGACGTTCGTGAACTTTCAAACAACGGTATTTCCAAAGACAGAGCGACGTTCGTAAACTTTCAAACAACGGTATTTCCAAATATAGCGCTACGTTCGTGAACTTTCAAACAACGGTATTTCCAAATATAGCGCTACGTTCGTGAACTTTCAAACAACGGTATTTCCAAATATAGCGATATGTTTTACGATTACGAAAAAGAAGTAAAACTGAAAACCTGAAAACTGAAAAACTGAAAAAAAAATGCCGATAACATTATTAAACCACACACTAAACAATAGCTTATTGTTCTAGATCCCGCCTAAAAACAACTAGACAACGCTCTGGACTTTTGCGCGTGACTACACACACACACACATATATATATCTTTCCAGGTGAATAGTTTTCCAGAGTCCCGCATATCCACTAATATGGACTTAACTACGGGCTTTTCAACCCATAAGGGCCACACCCTAGTTTGAGATACAAGGGCGTTGTATCGAATATCAAGAATATTAAGGGGAAAGTAGAGTCGTTGATTTGCGTTGCACGAAAGGCTTGTTGTATCACATTAGTTTAAAAAAAAATGTTGGCCCTATGAGAAGAATAATCATCAGAGTGTTTCA